ATATATATGCATGCGCATGCAGAAATTTCGTGGTACAGATATGCATACAGCACTAAAAGAATTAAGAAAAGAATCAACAAAAAAGCCCCAAGGAATAAATTGGTGTTTAATACCACCAACAACGCATGCAGGAAATATACAAGAAGAAGAAATAAATAATAATAATAATAATAATAATAATAATAATAATATAAATAATAATAATAAATATAATAATAATAATAATAATAAACAACAACAAGGAGGAGGAGGAGGAGGAAGAAGAGATAATCCTTTACGTTTCCATCTATTAGTATTACCCCCTATAAATAATAATATAAATAATAATAATAATAATATAAATAATAATAATAATAATATAAATAATAATAATAATAATAATAATAATTATATATATTTATTAGATAGTTTATATGTAGATAAGGGAGGGTTTTCTTTATGGGGACACAAAGAGAATTCATTAAGACATCTTATTTCTTGGTGGAAAGAAACTGGATATTGGAATGTAAACCCTAAACCCTAAACCCTAAACCCTCATAAACCCTCATAAACCCTTATATACCCTTATATACCCCTATAAACCCTTATTAACCCTTATTAACCCTTATTAACAATTATTAACAATTATTAACCCTTATTAACCCTCATAAACCCTCATAAACCCTCGTAAACCCTAATTTACTCCTATAAACCCTAATTTAATCTTATTAACCCTTATTAACCCTTTATATACCATTTATAATTATAAATAAATAAATAAATTATTTATTTATTGTTGTTGGTGGTGCAGAGGAAACAATTAATAGCTGAGTATGCAAGAGAGAAGCAGCAAATGATGGCAGAGGCTGCTGCTCGTCGTCGTGAGAGGGAGTTGCTAGAGCAGCAGCAGCAGCAGCAGCAATTGCTGCTGCAGCAGCAACAACAATATTATATAGATACAGCTATACAACCAAGAAGAGATCATTATACACGTGAATATATAGAGAGAGCAGCAAGAGCTGCCTATACACCTAAAATTGGTGGAGAATTCAGGCAGAGACAGTCTCCTTATAATTATTCACAGCAGCAGCAGCAGCAGCAGCAGCAGCAGCAGCAGCATATGCTGCAGCACCAGCAGCAACAGTACCAATATATGGGGGGTATAGAAGACACAGGAGACAGTAGACATTGGCAACAATATAGAGACAGAGGAGGAGACAGGGGAGGAGACAGGGGAGGAGGCAGAGGAGACTGGGGAGGAGACAGGGGAGGAGACAGAGGAGGAGACTGGGGAGGAGACAGGGGAGGAGACAGGGGAGGAGACAGGGGAAGGAGATGGGAGTATAATAGACAATATGATTATAATTATAGAGGAGGAAATTATAGACAAAATAGAGAAAGAGATGATTATAGATATTATTAAACCCTAAACCCTAAACCCTAAACCCTAAACCCTAATTAAACCCTAATTAATATACACCGCATCGATATATATATATATATTATTATTATGTTTTACTAACAAACCCTAAACCGCTAATTTGCTGTCTATAGGCAGCACAACTTTATTGTACTTTTGTTGTCTTTTATTTATCCTTGTGGATCTACCTACTAGGGTTTAGGGTTTAGGGTTTAGGGTTTAGACATTGTAAGTTACAAACAGTTGGTTTAGGGTTTAGGGTTTACTCGGTTTTATTTGTAATACAACAACATCTGTCACAGTTATATCAGATGTCTAGGGTTTAGGGTTTAGGGTTTAGGGTTTAGGGTTTAGGGTTTGGGGTTTAGGGTTTAGCTGGGCTTCCAGCTCGCGCTCAGCCTTCTCCAGCTCTGCTGCTGCTTGTCGCTGTTCTTCCTCAAACTGTTTTTTATCTTTTAATTCCTACAGCATTTAGGGTTTAGGGTTTAGAGGGTTTAGGGTTTAGGGTTTAGGGTTTAGAGGGTTTAGGGTTTAGGGTTTAGTACCTGCATGGCCATGGGGCTAAGACGCTCCTCTCCTTTTATTGGTGTATTGGGCACAGGGCCATTGGGCCTGAAAAAAAGAAACTAGGGTTTAGGGTTTAGGGTTTGGGGTTTAGGGTTTAGGGTTTAGGACGGACACTAGGACATGGTGCTTTGCCCATTCGAAGTCTTCTCTTGCCCTGACGTAGGATGTAGGGTTTAGGGTTTAGGGTTTAGGGTTTAGGGTTTACTCTTCTTCCTCTTCTGCTAGGTCTGCTTCTGTAAAGATTTTTTTTTCCTATAAGAAATAAATATATTTATTTATATATTTATTTATTTATTTATATTTATACTTATATTTATTTATTTATTTATATTTATTTATATTTATTTATATTTATTTATATTTATTTATATTTATTTTCTTGCCT